ATATAATATAATATAATATAATATAATATAATATAATATAATATAATATAATATAATATAATACAAGTAATATAACATAACAATATAGTATTTATAGAGAATATAACACATGTATTATTATAGGTAACATAGAGAAAAGGGGAAAAGGCTAATTAGGCCCAAATTACTTTTATTTGACTTCAGTGGGAAATGCAAGACTTTGAAGGTTTAGCAGATAAAGTCTCTTTGCAACTAAACTTAAAACTACCAGTAAGCCTCGGGGTTCTTGGCCTTTCAAAGGGTCATCCTTCTCTGCAGAGTTGGTTTTAAAAATAATGATACATTTTCAGATCCTGAAGGTGTCTGAACCTCAATGACTAAAGATTTTCAACTACAGCTCCCCCAGGGAAAGCCGGAATTTTGTATTCTATCACAACAGCAGGCTGAAGGAGAGTCAGGAATAGCAATGAAAAAGAGAGAGCCAGAGAAAAAAGGGTGAACAGGTGTTGCTGAGAGGAGGTATCGGAAAAAAAATCCCCCTGTGTACACAAAATTATTCCATGCACTGAACAGCGGAACTGAGTGGACCAAGTCCAGGGTCATTACATTAATTGACACTTTTAACCTCTAGGTAGTCCCTGGAGAGCCAATCAGGCCTGGGCTGGAAGCCCTCAGTGCCAGTCCCAGGTGTGGCCCAGGCTTCGTTCATTTAATGTAATTGGGCCTTGGCAATCTGCTCCACTCTCCTCCTCCCAACAGCTCAATGTGGAGCCCGCTGTGTTATTAACACCGCCTTCCAAGCCCTACAGTGACATTCCTGTTGGGGGAGGTTAACGAGGAGGGGAAGGGGGGGTGGCCTTTAACATATTGCTTTTTCCTGCTCCCCCAATCGTATCGCCATGTGGTCCTTAGCTCTGAGGTTTCTAGTGCAGGCTTCTTACTAATTGTGAGTCCTTCAAAGGGAAATTCAGATGCTCCATCCCTTCCCATTTTTCTATATACTTACTTCTAATGGTAATAGTCACCGAGTACCACAGCAAAATGAAGCAGGGTCTGCTTGATAGACGCAAATCGGAGAATGCCGAAAGGAAAGAGAGGTCTCTAAGAACGATGCATTCTCAAACTGTCTAAAGACAGAGCCAGCGCTCTGCATCTGAAGATACCCTGGAGCTCAACAAACGGATGGCAAAGGAGCTCTCTAAAGTGGGGTCCCCAGAGCCCATAGATCCAGGGCCCCGAGCCTGCTCCCCAGCATGGCTGGAAAGGACAGTGGGTGAATTACAGGCCCTGCCTGACAGGGAGACGGCCAAACCCCTGTGGACGGAGGGTGGCTATGAACACCCCTTCTGTCCTCACCGAGAAGTCATCACTGTCCTGGCTGGAGGAGCAGGCACAGAGCCATCCTTGATCTCCTCTTCCTTCATCTCTCCCGGTTCGTCCTGCCAGCCATACTAAGCCAGAAGGAAAAGTGAGTTTTGTCTGAACCATGTGCACGAAGCCTCCAGGTGAAAAGGGCATTTCTGGGGGCAGCTCTCTCCCTCAAGCTCAGCAGTTATGTGAATGACCAACCTGGCAGGTCTCAGAATAACAAATGAGAAAAGGGTCTGAGTCAAATTTAGTTCCAGACACTTATGGAGTGCTTAGCCCAAGGTAAAAGGTGGCAGGGTTTCTTTGGGAAGTGGGGAAATGCTCGGGATATCAGAACAAATTTGGATTCTTCTGCCTGTCCTCGCAAAGGGTCAGGACCTCAGGAATGTTCTAACGGTGCCTGCAGGGACTAGACGAGTGTGGTCACAACAAGTCATCTGCAATCACAAATGGCAGACTCAGATCCCCCGTTAGCCTCCCCTGACAGGTGTATCTGGGCGAGCCCTGGTGTCCCCTTTGTGCCAGAGGGTAAGTCAGTCAATCGACACACACCAGAAAGACTCTGGATCAGACAGCTCTTCCAGGGTCAGTTCCCTGCCGCTAAGGACGACGCCTCCCTTTGGCCCATCCTTGCAGACCTGGAGAGCTGCCCCTGGAGTTTCCAGGGGATGCTCTATTTGATGGGCACTGTTTACCTGCTGTGCCTTCCTTGTGATGTCTTTCTATTGAGTCACACTCAGCTGGACCTGGTCACTCAGGCCCAGTGCCCTTCAGAGGATCTTGCCTTTGTCTAGATCATTGGAGATTTCTCTGCTTCACTTTCCCTACAAAGCACGGGGGCGATGTATTTGGACCTTACAGATCCAATTAACAGTCTGTGTCATGCCTCACTATCTGCCAAAGATAACGGACTTGAGTTATGCTGCACAATACGCTATTGTCTTTGCGATCAGACAAATTCATACTTCTGGAAATTCGGTTCTCTGGGACAGGAATTTAAAGAAGCAGAGCTCTCTTCTCAGTCAAGGGCGCCATGGTGGGCTGACTTCCAAAGGCCTACTCAGAGGGATTTATGTGTCGGCTGACCCCGGCCCCAGGCTCTTTGATGGCAGGAGCATGAAGCAGCAGGCTTTTGTTTTTTCAACCAAAGTCTCTGGCCGTGGTTTTTAGCTACAGTTTCCAGTTGTTACGTAAAGTCAGGACTCGAACCCAGATTTCCTGATGCCAAGCCCAGGGCTCTTTTACTAGACTTGGCTTCCATGGGGACAGACAGAGAAGAGAGCACCTTGAATTCACTGCTCTGAGCCTCAACTCAACACACTCTCTCCTCTGGCTTCTGGCACCTCAAAGGAGGGCTGGGCCCAACAGTCCCCTCAGATCGAGGCAGGTCACTTTGCCTTCAGTATTCTCATCTGTAAAATAGGGCTAATAAAACAGGTACCGCCCACCTCAGAGGGCTGTGGTGAGGAAAGCCCTTGGTAACCCCCTAAAGCACTCTATTCATGTGAGCAATTATTAAAAACCACGTCAAAAGCAATAAAGAGAGAAGAATCTATTAGGGCAGGTTATCCTAAAAGGATCCTGAAGACCAAAAGATGAGGTTTTTCCTTCCCCAGTGGGAGAAAGTAATCACAGAGATGACGTTCCTTAAAGCAGAGTCCTGAATCTAATTCCTTAAAACTCAATAGTAACAATATAACACATTTATATAGTGTTTTAAGATTTGCAAAACACTTCTTGAGCATTATCTGATTTGATCTTCAGTATAACCATGTGAATATTGGGAATGGGAATATCATCACTAATGTTTTACACATGAGGAAACTGAGGATGAGAGGTTTTGAGTGACTCAGTAGGGTCACACAGTCATTAAATGCCTGAGGCAGGACTGAAACTCAGGTCTTCCTGATGCCAAGCTCAAAAGTCTAGCCACACTACCCCACGCTCACTTGACAGCAGAACAATCCCAATTAATTTCACCCAGTCAGATCTTTTCACCATTGTCTGGAGGAAGCAGAAACGGGTTGGGAACAAGAAGCTATGTCAAAGGGTGCAAAATCATGGTACATTTTTTAAAAAGGTGCTTACCTGATTGGGTATTTCTCCCCTGGGTCTCTTCCCAGGTGGAAAAGCAGGGGCAATTCTGTATGTTTCTCTTGGTTGTGGGTGGTTACTCCAGAGACATTCTGCCCAGGACAGAAATCAATGCCCTGCAAGGAAGACAACAGGTTGAAAGGGGCTCTGATTCGAAGGAGGATGCTTCCTTTGCTGTATGTCAATTATCCAGGAAAAGACAAAAAAGATGCAGCCCAAGTCCCATGATTCTCGATTTTTTCTGCCTTGGTTAAAAAAAGAAAAAGGGAGGAGATCTCTGACCCAACGCTGAGACCTTTCCTACCCATCTCTGATCACCCAGAAGGCAGAGAGGGCAGGGCAGAGGGGACTGGTCCAGAGGAACTGGACGTCGACTTCAGAAATGAAGACGGTCCCTGAGTGAGCTAATGAGTGTAACTGGCACAGCTCGAGAGAAATGACAACCTCAGGTGTCGTTTGGAAATGTTTTGTTCTTTGTTACTCAGGGTTCTCATTCTGTGCCCTCACGTGGTTCCCTGGATGCCCACTAATGTGGGGGGGGGAGAGGGAGGAGGAGAGAGAGACAGACAGACAGAGACAGAGAGACACAAAGAGACAGAGACAGAGAAAGACGGAGACAGAGAAACAGAAAGAGACAGATAGAGAGAAAGAGTTAGCTTTCTAGGGTTTCTGCTGGGAATCAAGTCCTACAGTATGGAGGAAGAGGGAAAGAAGACAGGTTTGCAAAGACTTCAGAAATGGTGACCAGAAAGGCAGTTAAGTGCTCAGGAATGACTCATTAGCAGAACCAGGACCAGAATCCTGAGGACCAGGCCAGTCCTCTATCCATGAGCCTCCAATGCCAGCCAGGAAACATGAATAAAGGCAAGTACAGCGAAGCAATGAAAAGTTAATTGACTTTTCCTAATTCCAAACTGGAGATCTGCTTTAAAACCGTAACTTTCTGGAATTCTGCTGCAGTATGAATTAAAACATATGGGTTAGTCCCTCTGTTAGGGATTTCGTAGGGCAAGAGTGCTGGATGTGGGAGTCAGGAAGCCTTGAATTCAAATGAGTTACTCACTGTGTGACCCTGCGCAAATCACTTTAATCCTCTCAACCTCAGTTTCCTCCTCTGTAAAATAGGGTTATGATAGCACCTACCTTGTAGGGTTGCCGGGATAATCAAATGTGAGAATATAAGTATAGATAGCACTTTGTGGACCTTAAAGCGTTATAGAAACGTTAGCTATTATTTGTAGGTAGCACAGCGGACAAAGAACCGGGCTTGGAGTCAGGAAGACCTGAGTTAAAATCTGGCCTCAGACACTTACTAGCCGTATGACCCTGGGCAGATCACTCTACCTCTGTTTGCCTCAGCGTCCTCATCAGTAAAATGGAATACTAATAGCACCTACGTCCCAGCGTGGTCATGAGGGTCAAATGAGATCGTCATAAAGCACTTAGCACAGTGCCTGGCACATAGTAAGTGCTATATAAATGTCAGCTATTATTATTACTGGTTTATTATTCTTGCTGTCATAGCCTACAGTAACATTTATTAGGACTCGACAGAAAACAGAGACCGAGGCCCTTGGGTGCTATGGCCAGAGAGGACCCCAGACCTCTCAGGCCCCTGAAGAGCATCCTCCTGGCCCACAGACGGAGACCCAATGAACAGCAGCTACTCACATCCTTCTGGTTGCACCTGCCGGGGGGAGGGGGTGCCGATGCACAACCTCGCACCAGCTGCCAGCGTCTGTTCTTACTTACTCGGCGTGTCACTTGTGACCTAGCCTCTGGGGACCGGCGTTCCTGGGACCCGGTAAATTGGGGAACTGCTATGGGCTCTGTGCTGGCCTCGCTGGGGGAGGAGGAAGTAGCTGGTGCCAAAGAGATGACCTCAGCTTCACAGACACATGACATCGGCCCATAACCCAAGTCCCCCTCTCTGCCCCTCTCATCATCAAGGCAAGGCAGGTAGCGGCAATCCCTTACCCCCTTCCACACACCATCTTCAAGCTGCCTGTCAGTTTTTCACTTTTTTCTCCTTTGAGATGACCCCTGATGGTGATTTTACATTGCTTTTAGTTATATTAAAAAATATTTGGGGGAGGTGACAGTTGAGCTCAGGTGGAAAAGAGAGCAAATTTGGTTTGTTCTGAGCCCCACGTGGCTCTAGGGCCCACGTGCCCCCTGGGACCATCCTAATGGGGGAGATACATGGCTCCTCAATGTCTTTCTAGGGGCTACCTCCCAGCCCCGGGAGAGGATAAGCTCGATGTATTTGCTTTCTGGCACCTGAAAAGTTTAACCTCTGAGCTCACAGGTGCATGAGAATGATACTTATTCTGGGAAAGAGAAAAAGCCCCCCAGAAATCTGAGCCTGCTAATACCTTGGAAGAGAAATGATCATGCAAAGAGGGGTCCCCAGGCTTCCCAGGAGCTGGCAACTCAAAAGAGTTTTTTTAAGCTGTATTTTTTTTTAAACAATTTCAGCTAACACAGTGAACTATTTATTATAGTCTGTTACCCCAAGAGGGAATGAACTGATAACCTGATGTGGTGAGTGGTAATACTTAAATGGGGGATTCGGGGTGACAGGGTGAAGCAGCTGTAGCACGTACTCATAAAGCAAAAACCACAAGGCTTTCTGCGAACGCTAGTGGGGTGTGATTGGCAAACAATTTTCTAAAATATCCTGTGTTTTTAAATGGACAGCTGGTCAGTGGAGCAGTTAATATTCTGCTTTTCAATAAAGCAAGAAGGTGAAAAGCCCGTGAAATCCCATTTATCTGCACTGAGCTATGGATTCCTGAATCAGTGGCTGGAAGAATCAGGGGGCTGGCTTGATAGGTTGGACAGGGGGCCAAAGATGGATTTTAAATGGATACAAAAATGGATGACCTTTCCCCCTTTTGGTAGTCGGGGCCCTGGAGACCAAATAAAGATTAAATAGTGGGGGGAAATAGCAGAATTTAGAGTAAAAGGCAAGCTGAGCAGTTAACAGAGAGATATCAAAGCCAAGGCTGAATGTACAAATTATAATTTGGATGCAAATCAAATAAGCTATTTAATTAAGATGCCTGCTAATTGGTACAAGATTTCTCTCTCACAAATACCGCAGTCTGAGGGAAGACCTTGTCCTCTTGGGTATTAGTGTCTGATCTGCTTCTGTTTACAGTCCCTTCCTCCCCCCTCACTTGTCACATAAGGAAAGTCACACAAACAGGTCCAGATAATTTCCCAGGGTTATTCATGTCCTGGTGGCTAAAGACCAGGAAATGGGGAGGAGGGGGACCTCGGGAACATCGCTGGTTCTCTCTGAACCTCGGTCTCTTCATCAGTAAAAGGATGGCAAGACACAATTGAAGGATGGCAATGTCTTCCGGGCCATAATTCCTCAGAACCCCAAGGGGGCTCAGAATCTTAAGATTCCCAGAGTTTCTGAGAACTCTAAGGGGGTACCCAGGACAAAAATCATGATTTACTGGTGAATGAACCGAGGCCCAGAGAGGGAAATGATCGGCCCTTGGTCACACCAGCACTGAGGGCAGAGGTCAGCACTTGAATGCAGGTCTTCTACCTTCAAACCCATCACCCTCTTCACAGCTCCCTGCTGACTGTCATAGCTCAGTTCTCCTGGGGATAAAGCAATGTAGGGGACTTAAGAGAAGGAGCCTTTGGCCTACTGTCTTGTATTTAAGTTAATAAATTAGGGAGGAAGGAAGGAGAGGGAGGGAGGGAGAAAGAAAGGAAGGAAGGAAAGGAAGAGAGGGAGGGAGAAAGGAAGAGAGGGAGGGAGAAAGGAAGAGAGGGAGGAAGGAAAGGAAGAGAGGGAGGCAGAAGGAAGGAAGGGAGGGAAGGAGAAAGGAAGGGACAGAGGGAAGAAGGAAGGAAGGAAAGGAAGAGAGGGAGGGGGGAAGGGAGAGTGAGGAAGAAGGTAAGAAACATGCATTTATTAAGTGCCTACTATGTGCCAGGCACTCATCTAAGTATTTTACAAACATTATCTCATTTGGTCCTCACAACAACTTTGGAGGTAGGTGCTATTATGAATAATAATATTAACGATAGCTAGCATGTATATAGTCCTTACTCTGTGCCAGGAGCTGTGTTAAGCACTTTATACATATTATTTCATTTTGTCCTCACAACCACCACATTTTAGAGGAAATGGAGGCAGATGGAGGCCAAGTGACTTGCCCAGGGTCACACAGCTACTTCTACAGCAGTTCAGAGAAGGAGAGGAACAATGTGGTGTGGATAAGGAAAGCCTCTCCAAAGAGTGGGCGTGTGAATGAAGACTTTGCAGCACGGGCAGGACTTGCAGGCAGAGGGAAGAGAAGGAGGACAGGCTAATGGCCAAGAATGAACCCAATGAGGAAAAAGCCCTGCTGGAGTGAGGGGTTCACATCAGGGAGTCATGATAGATAAAACGGGCCCATTGGATGGGGCCCCACTGGAGATTTCTAACAAGGGAACGACGTGATGAAATGTATTTTAAAGAAGATGCATTCATTCGTTTCTTCATCTGGGAAGGTGGGGGGGTGGGCCAAGATGCTCTCCAAGGTCCCTTCGAGCCCTGGATACCGTAAGATTTTCTTTACTGAGTAGTAACCCCATGCAGGGCCCTCTGCTAGGCATTAGCACTGACATGAAAATGGATCAAAGTTCTGCCCTCCACAATGCTGACAGTCCAGACAAATATTAATGCCTAAAGTGCTGGGCAGAACGGGAAAGTCCAGGCATGGGAGGCAACAAGGGACGCCGAAGGATGCTGGATTTCGGACTCAGGGAACCTGGGGTTCAGATACAAGCTCTGTCCTTTACTGTGCTACCATGAAGAAGTCGCTGGACCTCAGTTTCCCCAGGTGCAAAATGAAGGGGGTTGGGTTGAGCTGATTTCTAAGGTCCCTGAACCTACAAATTCTAGGTAAAAAAGTGTCAGGGAACATTCGGGTGAGTGACAGCCATTTTTGGTGTGGGGTGGTAAGGAAGCAACAGCAGCTTTGAAGAGACAATGTGGCCCAGTGGGGAGAGACCTGGATCCGGAGTCACAGAGACCTGGGGTGAATCTCACACCTAGGACTTAGTAGCTATGAGCACAGGCAAGTCCCTTGAGATCTCTGAGCCT